GGTTTGGGCATGCGAACCTCTGAATTTTCTCAGACTGTTCCAGCTGGGGATAGTTTCATTGTCAGTGCAAAGCTCCCATTTGATCTTTCCATGGCAGTCCAACTCTGTTTACTGGCTTTCCTCTTGTTACTGTGTGTACTGTGATTGTAGGATGGGTGTTCTGTCCTAGAAATACTGCATTCACTTACGTGTGTGCACTGCTTGTGAAGAAAGAGATTTCATCTTGCATGGTGTTGGTTAACAGCATGCTTACGGGGAGGAGATCCCACATGCTTTAGCAGTTAAGCATCGCTTTCTGTTTAAGGGATGGACAACTTTTTATGTTGTGTAAAACCCACATGCTTACCTGGTTTGTTGAAATTTGCTGAACTTTATGGAGGTGATAGGTAGTTTTTGGAATCCAAATTCAGAGTCCTTTTAAGCAAGATTTCCCTGAGATTCAGTTCTTCCTTGCCCCCAAAGCAAGCATTCTACAAAATCAGCTCATTCTTCTAATGTTATTTTGCAAGCATCTGTGACACAAATAAAGCATTAATTGTCCCCCAGCTGATTTCAGGAGCTTGGGATTTTTCTGTGCTAGTGCATGGCATTCATTGCTCATTTGATGGTGCATCACTGACAAAGTTATTAACTTTTGAAGTTTGGATATATACATTGGCTAGGGTAGTGATTCTCAATCAGCCACCACACCATGGGGTGCATACAGATCCTTTTAAGGGTGCCACAGGGTGACATGCAGTGTTTGCACTGCTACAGAATGCTGTGGAGTGTTTGCACAGCTAGACATGCAAAAAATGATTCACAAGATAAACCCAGAGATTTTCAAATAGGAATCTGTAGTGTCAAAACTATTCTGCCCTGGCGCAGTTTTTTCTGAGTTCTTTGCGATAGAAGAATTGCCCTATTATTTTTCTGTAGTCACAAAATGAGTGAAAAATAAGACCTAGCATTTTTGAAGGGGTGCCTCATCTGTTGAGGGATGCCTTGCATCTAAAAAAAAAATTAGAGAATCCCTGAGCTAGTGCCATGTTCCTGAGCTAAAGAGATTAAATGGTGCACTGTTGGCAAGAGTAGGGCTGTATTGAAGTAAGAGGTTTCTAGATGTATTCTTGTCAGAAAGACTATGTGGCTCAGTGTGATGCATTATTGAATTTGCCCAAATCTAAGATGACCCTCAAATTAAGATGACCTCCCCCATAATTCTAGAATCTAATGATTGGAAGGTTGTCTTTAATTGACCTCCTTCCCCCATGTGCAAGGGGGCAAGTGGTATGGAGAGGTCAAGCTGCTTGTCCCCTGCTTGTGGCTCCCCTCTGCCCCCTGCCTGTCCTTTCCCACCCCCCATGTTAAATGGGGGGGAAAAAACCTTGTCTTAGAATCAAGTAAATACAGTATTTTTCTTCAAATGTGAATTGCACTTGTGCTGTGAGTACAAGCCCTTCCTTTTAATAGTCATTTGGTCAAGGGGCTGCTGATAGCATCAATACACAGTGTCTAATGTTTCCAGTTTCTTATACCTTAACTTTTTTGGTGTTGAACAAAGGAAGGTAGATAGTTGGAGCAGTTCATGAGTATGGACACATGGAGGGGAGATGTCTGGGGATCGAGGATTGAAGGAATAGGTAAGGTTTAGCAGCAAGAATGGGGGTAACTTGAAGGAGGGGAATAATTGGAGGTTAATGGAAAGGAGTTTGAGGGGGGCTTAAAGTGAGAGGCTGGAGGGGAGTTATTGGAAGTGAGGCATGGGAAGGAGGGCATATACAGTGGCCCAGTTTGAGTAGTACTCCATACTCCCCATGTATATCAGGATCTTAGGGATACTGCTCTGCTATACAGAATGATTCCCTTTTGCTCCTCCAGAAGTGAACTGTAGGATCTGGGGGTTCCTGGCCATCCTCTGTTTGAGCCTGGGTATAGGCACTTTGAGTCCTTCTCCCTGCTCCTCTGTGTTTTAACCAGCTTCTCTCCCTGTCCCCCAGGAGCTGAGATTTGGATGCCCCTCTTTTGAGAGGGTTGTGGAGTCTTCCATATGATTCTTTTTGGGTAGGCCATGTCTCCTTAAAGGGTGTTAAAAGTTCCTTTCTTTGTCTTTTCATTGATTGAGTGAGACACTTAAATATTAAAGAGGGTGGGGTTGGGAATACTCTACAGAGAGGAATGGGGCAGGTCTCCAAGTTATTCCAAGTAGAATTTGTCTTCAGGGGATTGTCCCATAAAAATGAATGGGCCATTTTACACCCTTGAGCCTCCTGTGCTGTAGATAGAGGATAGACAGAGCTGTTTTTCTATGCACTGTGTCAGGAGTTGGAATAGGCCTTTCCATTCTTCTGTTCTTTCCTGCATACACCTTCCTTGGAGCCTTCCCATCTCCAGATAGTCTATCCAACCTTGCCAGACATGGATTATCAAGGAAGAAGGTGGAGATGGTCTATTTAGGGGAGGGGTCAGGACTGCAGGGAATATGATCACTCAAAGTAGTGGGTGTGATGTAGGGAAGGTTTGTGGTGCTGTAACAGTACAGTGATTAACAGAATGTAAAGGATCAGTCAGAGCTGCACAGTGGCACACAGGGACTTCTGCTCACTTCATAACCATTGTATTCATGCCCTTTATGTGTATTCTTTGACTCCATTCTTCCTTTCTTCTCCTTGAAGAGGAGCACTGAGGAAGGGAGGCTGTTTTGGACAAGCAGAGCAGACACAACGAGAGGGTGCAAAGGATGTGAAGGGACTGTCACGCAGGCAGTGCACTCTGTGGACAAAAGTAATCATTTTCTGGTGACTGGGGCAGTGAATGGAGAGAAAAGAGCTGTCATACATGGGACATCAGAGAAATTATTAAAAAATATACATGATTGAAAACTTCATTACTTCAGGGGTAAAGTTGCTCAGTTGTACCTCCTGCCTTTCCAGACTGTAGAAAGTGGCTAAATTTTAAATATTTGAAAACTGGGGGATACAAACTTTAGGTAGACATCACTCACATGTCGTCTTCACTCTGCCCTCTTCAAAGGATGCTGCAGCATCCCAGTAACACTCATTCTGGCACTCTGCCTTTATAGATGCTATGGGATGCTTTGGGAGCACAATATATGAACAAAGTGTAACGCTGCTTTGCTAAAGCAAAACTTTGATTGAGGTCAAGTGTATTAAATAGAAGCTGCTTACACCTGGCCTGTGCTCAAATATATGAAGCACCCCAGAGTTACCATTATCTTAATTTCTCCTTTCCCTCTAAGGGAATCCTTCCTTCTCAGATGTGGTTTTATGTATCCCTCACTAAGTCCTGGTGATCATTGTACATCCAGGCTGCTGGCAGTTCTAGGAGACTCTTGTCTGCCTCCGCAGGCACAGCCTATAAAATTCAGTGCTGAATGGGTGTGTGTTTGATCCAGAGAAGTGGATGTGCACCTCTCACATACCCTTGCCATTCTGCTTTAGTTTATCAGTCCAACCTTCAATAGAGCCATATGATCCACAGTGAAGGCAATTGCCATTTGTGCAGATACGTGTTCCACAAATTTGGGTTCTAGCCTGACATGTGCATTGCAACTTATTCATGCTCAGCTTTTTCTTTCCAGAATTACTTCCATTGTTTTTTTGCAAACTCCCAAGGGCCAGAATCAATTGTTGTCTGTTGGCATGTACCCTTACATTTCTATTTCCTGGCTTTCAGAGGTTTAAGTTCAGTCACTTTCCACATTCTGGAAGGGCAGGGTAGACCCTGCTTGACAGCTGTAACTGCATTAATGAAGTTTTTGGGCATTAATATTACCGAAGCAGAGGTCTGCATTTTTAACACTGAGGAGTTGTTTTACGTGCCTGAATTGGGATTAGATAATAAGGAAGCATATTGGCAATGTCAGTACTTTCAGAAACCTGGTCTACACAAAGTCTCAGTTTGTTATTATTGATGGTAGAACAACAGTTTGGAAACGCTTTTATAAAATCATGGGGTGGGTGCAGCTCAGCCTTGGTGATGTTGCGGCATGACAACCCATCAGCAGTGATCTTAGTCATTGAGTTGGATGATAAGCTTCTGAAGATTTTCCTATCCAGTCTTCAGGTAGGATAGCAATTTTAGTGTAGGGTTTGGGGGAGGTGGCTCATCAAGGTAATAATGTCTCCTTGAGGAGAGGTAGGAGAAAATAATGGGTTTGTTTGTTTTTTTTTGTTTTTTTTTTTTTTACAAAGTTGTACAGTGCAGGTGCAGAGCATCTGATGAGGAAAAAAGAAAGTGCATTTATACCTCACTTCCAAGACTTGTACATCTCTACATTACAAACAATGTGTTTAGAAAGGATATTGCCAATGTGAACCTTCATCAGAGTCCAGTTAGCTCATATAGATTAACCATCCTAAGGATTCCTTTAGGTAGTACCTCCTCTTACTATTTCGTTAATTAGCAGGCTTGCTTTTGGAGCCCTTGCTATTCAGGTTTTACCAGCGCTATTGACAAGTGGATGGATCTCCTTATAGCAAAAGGATATGTCCAGTTGTTTCTGTTACAAATGTATAGAAGCTTCAGGGTGTTTATTTAGTTAACTGTCGCCTACAAAAAGGATCGCAGTAGTAACTTTGGGATTTCTTGAGCAACTTTTCTCTTTTTCTCTGTTCTTCCTCCCCTCACCCCCTTCTCCACTGGTCTAAATGGCCGTTTAGTGGTATTTTCAGTTTAATAGTAAGCCCATGTTAGTTGCATGTGGGATTGCTATAACTATACTCAATTTTCTTTCGTGCCCCTCTTCCCCCCCCCCCTTTTTTTAAATAAACTGCGTGGTAGGGATAAATAG